GCTGCTGGAAAAGCGGCACAGTGAGTTTTTTCGCGGATGAGTCGAAACTCAGTGGGTTAGCTTTGAGCTTCAACTATGTGCTTTAAGTTTTTGTGTCTAACTTCGTTTATCTGGCCCATCTGGGCACCTCGCCCTAACGGAATACCTGGCAATTGCAAAGCCGATGAGCTCTCAAGAGAAGGCAACGTGGTTTCGATTACACTTTTTATGAACGAGTTTGGTCTCTGTTTTCGGCTTGAGTTCTATCGTTGGAACTCTGGTCTTCGTATGAGCTGGTCAACAACTGGCACTTGCGCAATTGAAAGATCCGAATAGGGATCATAGAAGGTTCCTCTGAACTTCTTAGTCACAGTAAGGTTCATCTTTTCTTAATCGTATAAGCTCTAACTAGAGTTTGCCTAATTGGTCGCTGATGACAGTTGAATGGAGAAATATGAAATGGTAACTACCACGAATTTGATCCTGCTTATTTCAGGTTTTAAAAGACTGATGTGGAAGTATCTTGGCAGTCATATTTTGGGCGCATTTGTGACAAGCTCAAAACGCTTTGAGTGTCTTTCAGATTTTTTCTTTTATTCTTAGCAGAACATATTTGGGTATTAAATCGACCGGTGTTCTTAGCTGTTCAATTGTATACCATTTTTGCATCGACTTTTTAATCAAATTTAAGTTCCTTTTGAATCGACCTTTTAACATAACTAAGGATTTTTGAATCGACGTTTTAACCTAACTTTGGGCCCATCTTTGGATCGACCTTTAACCTAACCCATGATTCGTCTTTGGATTTACCTTCTGTCCTAACCTAGGATCCGTTCTGGATCAGACTTGTAACCAAACCTAGGCTCCATTTTTGGGTCTTCCTTTTAACCTAATCCGGGATCAGGTGTTGGATCGACCTTTTAACTTAACCTAGGATCCCTTTGTGGATCGTGTTTTTAACATAAACTCCATTTTTCAATTGACCTTGTAATCGAAGCTTGTGTTTCCTAAAGAGCATGTCGATAAGTATACATATCAATTAGTCATATATCTAATATAACTTATTAGTAATCCATGTAAGTATTGATATGAGCGCACTTTATTACTCCACTTCTTTCAGCACATTGTCTGTCTGTCCGAGACTGCTTAGGTGCGTTTCTTTGTGTGTAGTATGTATGTATGTACATCTGTTTGCTTGGCTGTGTGTTAGTTTGCACTGCGTTTCTGCTAATATTCAATATCAGCATTGAAAATGGTCTCAGATTTGTGTACATAATAACCATGATTTAAGCTATTGTGTAGCAGCACGTCAAGGACAGAAATAGTTAAGCGAACGAACAACCGACATAACAGCACCAACAACAACAATAAAGTGGAATACAAAACTAAAGCCAACAAGGAGCCGACAATAGTGGGGGCCACCAAGCGACCAGACCAGACGTGCCACTGGCTAACCAACCAGGCATACCAATCAGCTCTAAAATATTCAAAACACAACAAGCAGGAGGCAACTATTTAGCTTATCCGCACGGCGCATGGACCACGAGGGCACAGCGGCAGCCGGCGGCAAGGTGAGGTAACAAAAACAGGGACGGAAAAATCAAAAATAAAAATAATGCAAGTGAAGAGAAAAATAAAACAAGAACTTTACGTCATCATTGCTCGCAAACAAGCTGAAAATACAATGCCGACAACAGCAACAACTACAAAGCGGGCATCCTGCGACGACCGACGACAACAAAAATGAGGCAACAAAGCAACGAAGCCAAGTGAAATGGCTAAACACTTGATGAAGTGTTCATTTTGCATGCCGAAAGTTTTTGTTGGCGGCATCGTTGTTGTTGTTTCGGTACTCTTGTGGGCTCTTATTGGCATTGCTGTTATTGTTGTGTTAGCGTTACTGTTATATGGCTATTTTAGTTGTTGATTTAGTTGCCCGCTATATATATATACATATATATATATATTTAGATATAGTTGTTGTGCGCATTGTTGTTGCAAAGTTTAGTCGCTTCTTGTTGCTGCCTCCTGCTGCGTCCACGGCCGACTGCCGATAACTGGCAGCTAACAGCTGTTGACTTGGCATACCATTATTGCTATGATAATTGGTCTAACTTATTTTGGGGCGGAATTTCTCGTTGCCAGTTTGAGGTTTTCTGTTTTTGTTGTAGTTTGGCTTACCAAATTTCATAGTTCGTGGTTAGTGGGCTGTATGGAGTGGGTCAACCTGAATTTGTGGCGAGTTTGCCGAGGTTTACGCAGTTTTTAAATTTAGAGTATTAATTTCTGGGTTTTTTTTTTGCTTTCGTCAAACTTTGTTGAGTTGCGACGCCAGTTAACTGCTCTTGACAAATTTGAAGTGATTAAAATGTAATTTTTGATTCGTGAAATCTAAAAAAATTTTGCTTTTTAGCGCGACCATGACCTATTTTCCCGCTTACTGCTGTTAGCAATATTTTCATAATTTGAAAGCTTAAAGTATCAGCTTGGTGTTAACTGGGGTAGGCGGGAAGCTACATATAATACCTTTCACAGTCGCATTTCTTATAGCAAAAATATGTAGAACTGAATCTGCCAAGGGTTTGCTTTGATCAGTTTGGGCCGAAAATGCAAAACTTCGTCAGTCATCGTTTGCAAGATTACGAATGGTGGTTAGGCACTGGGTGCTTCCATTGGATGCGTGGGTGTTCTTGCTTCCCTTGTCCAGCCATGGATCTCGAATCGAAGGAGTTTATGCTCTTCCCTGCAAACGACATAACCAGCATATTTGTTGAGTTTTTATGCGCATTATGAACAATTTGTTCGCTTCATATATTCATGTTACCGTAGAGTTTATACAATTCGTGGTTCCATATTCTTCAATATTCATCGGTTACGCAGGCGACTCCAAAGATCTTAGAAATAACAGTTCTTTCCAATGCTCAAAGTGCTTTCTAATCTCTGGTCGTCATCGCCCCAGCACGTGCGGCGTATAACAGGTCGGAAATAATGAGAAACTTGTCGAGCCAATTTTTGTTCATTGAAAGTTGTATCTGCTTTCAGTTTCCTACCGATACCAAAGTAGGACCTATTTACAGGAGTTATTTTGCGCTTGATCTCCAGGCCTACATTATTGGTTGAATTTGTGCTGGTACCAAGGTATAAAATCTTTAGTCTTTAGTCAAGAAGCGTGAAATCTTTTTGTGTAGCCTCCAGATACTTTGTCTTGTCATCGTTCACCACAAGATCAAACTCCTTCTTTTCATTTTCTTTGCTGAAAAATACTGCTTTGAAGACTCTGTTGTAAAGACCTACTTGCACAAGTATAATGTCTACATCACTTCCGTATCCAAGGAGCATTGTGCTTTTGCAGTAGACTGTGCCACTGCTGTTCAAATTAGCGGCACGTTCCGCCATCGGTTTGCATCCAAGGAAAAACATTGAGCTAAACCTTTCCAGCTGGTGCGCAGGATAGCTGTATACCATAATTATTCGATTTGAACAATTTGTTCGGAAATTTTAACGTTGCTCGATCAGATTGTAAGTGCAGACAGGTTGTAATGGCAGTCCGATATTAGCTATTTCGAGAAATGAGCAGCTTCTGGAAAAGAACATAATGGGTGCAAAATATCAGATTGGTAACCCAAGAAATGAGGGACTACTTCACGACATGCAGACGGACAGACATGACCGAATCGACTCTGCTCGTCACCCTGATCATTTTTAAAGAACTTGATAGTCTCTTGAAGGTGTAAAGCAGCAGTAAAAGTGTGACAAAAAAGTCCTTATATAGAAATTTACTACCAGTCTCACCATAAGAGAATGGAGTAGGCAGCAGCATGGGACTCACTATAAAAACTCACAACATCTACACAGACGGTTTCAAAATGAACAATGGAATGGGCGCCGGAGTCTAGTGCTCGAAGCATCATGTATGACCAAACTTAAAGCTTCCGAAATACTGAAATCACCAATATATACTATTGTGGGAAAAACAGTAAGACTTTTTAATTTAAATTACCGTGAAGTAAATGCGTAAGTCCACAAAAACTACGTGAAGAAGTTTTCGAAGAAAAACGCGTATGCTGTTTACTTACACGGTCTGAAAAAAACTCCAAAAGGGTTGTTGGCAAATTGACGATACAAGCAGAAGGTGCAGGAAGGTCTTATGATTCTGTCCAACCTTATCTAAAACAAATCATAGATAGCTAGGAGCTACAGAGTTCTCGGTATAAGATTACGTATGGCAGAACGGTTGACCTGTTTGACCTAACTTAACTTTTTTCGGTAGTACTTCTTCCCCCTTTTCATCTTATACTCGCCTTCATTGCTTTTATCTCAGTCGCAAACGTTTGAATGAAGTTTCTCTGTTCAGTGTGATACCTCAAATTGATGAAGATAAAAAATAGTTGACCTTTTCTCTTATCCCATTTTATCCTCAACACACTTACTCCTAAATAAGGACTACAAATTATCATTACTCTCCCTCTCTGGTTCTACTGAAATAACACTAAAATATTGCACACCCTAAAGCGAGCTATTGCGATAGCAATACATCGTCTCTCATTTAACTATAAAAGATTAACTTAAGCCAACCTTCGCCTGCAATTAATCTTAGAACACACGAATAAACCAAATTTGTTTCAGCCCCCGAAGCTAAGCCAGCAAAGGCTGTTTAATGCAATGAAAATATGATATGAATATTCTTGCTGCAAAAACGCTTATACATCAATGAGATAATTGTTAAGTGAAGGTAATTAACGAAATAATGACTGGCGCAGTCGCCCTACAGCTGTTCGTACGCCACAATTCGTTAAATGGTGAGTTATTGTGGCAAGACTGCAGCAGCATGTCTTCTGAAGCCTCGGAGGCAAATGTGGTATTCACATAAAATAAAATATATACTATATAAAGGCATACATACATACAAAAAATACTGTAGTACCAAGTGTTGTAATTTATTACCAAATCCTCTGACATTTATTAATGCTCTGCGTTTTATCTGTTTAATTTTTTGCTCTCTCCTTTGCTCTTACTTGCAGTTGACTCTGAAGATCCTGAATTTACGGACGTCATTGATAATATAACAGTGCCAGCGGGCCGAAATGTCAAATTGGCGTGCTCTGTTAAGAATTTGGGCTCATACAAGGTAAGTCATTAATAAAGTTAGGAAAAGATTAGCAAGGCTAGGTAAGAAATGAGCAAGTACATAAGGTATTTTAGTTTGTCAAATTAATGGAAGAACTTACCTGTGCTATTAAAATGGTTATTAGTATCTAGGGTTATAATTTTTTGCTTCTATAATAATTTTCTGCACTTGTCTTGATTAAGTTTAGGCTGTGTAAGGCTTTAGTACTCATTAAGAGACTTTCTTTGCAAACGAGATTTAATATTTACATTTTACAGAGAGATATTTCAGTTAATGTTTTATATACTTAGTACCTTACTCAAGTCTGAGCAAAAGCTTTTAACAAAATTAACTAACTAACTATTAACCAAAGTAAGTCAAGCTACATTCTGCTTTTGTTTGATACCTTTAGCTTACTCATTACCAATTTTCCATAAGTTTATGTATTTTTTTCTATAAAGAGATCTTCAAATATATGATTTATGGAATTACACAAAAATTATAATTAAATTAGTACTGTGCTGCTTTAAAAAAACACAAACCAAAGCGAATGATGTGAAAGCAAAAAAATAAAGGTCCATGTTAAATTGAATTTTAAGTACAGTAAAAGTTTTGAAAAAGAATTACTAAACGTTTTTTGAGCTTTGGCGATCGACGGAAACCTGAGCAAAGAAACAAAATTCCACTCAAAGATATTGCCCGTAAAAATATCCCAAAAAAGAAACATTAATAGAAAAAATAACGGGATTAGAAAAAAGGTGAATTTTTCTCATAATTTTTTTTTTTTTTTTTGGTCTGCCAAAAGTCCACTTTTAATAGTTTTCACAGGCTTGAAGCCAACCAATCTCTCCCAGTTTTTGCCGAGTAAACAAAGATGTATGTGGTCTACCGTTGTCCTGATGGAAGATGAAGTACTTTCTGTTGATAATTTCTGTCCGCTTTCTTCCGATTGCTTGCTCAAATCTCATCAGTTGTGACAGTGAAATATAGAATCAATCGTTCGGCTAGGCTGGAACAGCTCATAGTGAATGATTGCTTTCCTTTTAGGTAGATTATTGTATGGTTATTTTGATAGAAATATATACAAAACATGAAGAATAAAATCTGGTAGTGATCGGATCGTTTGTCTCCGGCATATCCCTCAAATAGATTTAGAAAAATATAGATTTAAGAGAAACACATAAATAAAATCAAAACAAAAAACAAACAATTAATTAAATAAACTGATGAAGTGATGCAATTGAGGTCTGATGACAAAGCTAGGTCTTTAGAATGGCCATTTTGAAACCTTTGTGATTAAAATCCTGTCACTACATTTTGAAATCTCTGAACCACCCAGTGCTTGTGATTAAGTTCGTTTTTTTTTTTTTTTTTTTTTTTTTTTTTTTTTTTTTTTTTTTTTTTTTTTTTTTTTTTTTTTTTTTTTTTTTTTTTTTTTTATAACCTCCGAGACATTGTCAAGAGTCAAGTTGTTTTATCGTCTATTCTTCTTTTACCTTTTGGCAGCTTCAGACACTGATTTATTGACGCCCCTATTAGAGTTCTTATACTCGTATTGTTCCTCTCGAATTTTTGTAGTCTGCATGTGCAGGCCCTCTTCCATACATGTAACGTTTGTTTGTTTGTTGCGTAAGTCAGTGACTGACCATAACGAGGCTCAGCGATCTTAATAATATTTTTGTCGATTAGAAATCAACAATCAGCCAGAGGCATACAAATACGCTCTTTTCTGTAGTCTAATAGTAGGGTGGTGCCTGCTCTGGCTAGTTCATGTGCTTTGCCGTTACCAGATATATCAGTACGTCTTGGAACTCATTGCAGGTTTATTGTGAACTTTGATGTTAGGTCGTCCAAAGATCATGGTATCTTTTCACATTCTTTGAAGAAACCCTAAGCGGGTTTAATGATTTCAAAGCCGCTTGCCTGTATGTATAAATGTTTAGATATATTTAATTTTGTGCTTCTAGAATAAAAGGTGTTTCTTTAATTGCTGTTATCTCACCTTGGAAGACAATGTAGATGCCTGGTAGACGGTAAGCGATTTTGGTGTCGAATTATGCTGAAAAGATACCACAACCCACTCGATTATCAAGTTTGCACCCACTCGTGTAGATGCTTGTCACTGCGTCCAGTACGGATAAGATTGCGGATTTGGAAATTTGGTGCCATTGTTTAGAAATAGAAACTTTTCATAGGTATAAACCATCGATATATAAAAAGTTGACATTTTTTAGTTCAGACTAAATGTACCGCTTTCATTTCATAGGTCATTGATGTGAATATTTAGTGAACAGGTTAGTGAATGTAATATATTTTTGGACTTAAAGACACTAATCTATTCTTCCAAAATATTTAATTTTAACCTATCTTACATTGTCTTCTTCTTAAAACTTTTAGCGCCCTTCCAATATATAGGCTCACCTCACTACATTATATTTTGAAGCGTTAAGGGCAGCTCCGAAGTAAAGATATTTTTTCTTGAGTGCTGAAAGTGATCCAGGCCGAAGAGAAGAGTGAAAGTAGTTGCGCTGAGTTGAAGAAATAATGCAGACAAAATCACTCTGATCACTCGCTCTACGCATCAACGATTTATCTTTTGTTCCTTTAATTTCTTCTGGCATTTCAACAATGCCTTGTTCCTTTTATTCTGCTTAACGCAAATTAATTCAATCATGCTAATCTATTCCGCATATTTTAGCCAATAAAATATAGATAATATTGCTATTGTAGTTAACTGAGTCGTTGTTGTTGTAGCGCCGGGGTTGTTTGAAGGCAACCGGCAATTAAATATGCATACTAATACAAGCAAGAAGGACGGACACACACAAACTGGCTGGCTATTAGACACAAATGGAATACACATGATAACATGCATTCCAATTTCATTAACAATCATAATTACACACACACACACACTGCAAACATGTAATACATAACGGTATAAGTATCTACATTTCCGGCGGCGTGTAGTCTTCCTGACTAACTCCGACCGCGTTTGTGCTGTCTTTGATGACAGCCGTTTGTCGGTGCTTGCCTGCTGGCCTTAATGTGCGCTCGCATGTGTGTGCGCCCAGCTGATGCGCCAGAAGGTATGCTACGTAATGTAGCAAAAGCCCACACATACACACACACACACGTTTGTGCATATATTCATGAGTCTAAGCACTGCATGAGCATCATTAGCAACACCGCCGGTGCTGCTGCGGTCATATTTTGTTGTCATTCTTGCCGCTGCTGTTGTTGTTGTGGCTGTTGGTTGTCTGTTTGTAATTGTGGTTGTCTTCACCTTGTTTTCTGCCAACTAATGAAATTAATTAGCCTCCTGTAATAATGAACCACACTGTGGCAGCCGCAGCAGTTCAGCAGGCAAAGGCAAGTGCAAACGACAAAAAAGACACAACAACAACAGCAATAAGAGTAATGAAGCGCACAACAAGTTATAATATAAGCACCTCGACAAGCAGGCAGTCAGGAAGCGCCGTGTGGAAGCGTCAGTGGCAGGAAGAAGGCGCCGCATGCGGAAAGCGCAGCCAACAAATTACGTCAAAAGAGCAATGAGCGCTAATAAGCAGGAAGGACACGACAAAAGCAGAGCGAAAGCACACAAACAAATAAAAATAAAAAGAAGAAAATGAAAATGAAAACCAATGGTGCTGGGTGCGCCGTGTTGGCTTTTGGGGATGCGTTGGAAATTTGCTTTAATTGCTGATGGGCCACCAGTTGCCTCCAAACGAGCAAACACAATTTAATGCCACAAATACATATTTACACATATTTACTAGCTGCATGTGTGTGTGTTTGTGTGGGTAATTTGCATTTGTTAAGTATACACTTAAGTGGAGTCAAATTATGTTCACTTTAGCAGTTTGTTGATTAATGCATACAACTATATGGCAACACCCTATCGTATGCATGTGTGTCCAATCTAAGGCGTCAACTGCTTGTTGCTTCGTCGGCAATTAACTGTAGTCCATGTCAGACGACAGGGAAATGGGAGAAACTAAAGCGAAATCTCTCCTATTTCTTCTGTGTTCTAATTACTTAGAATTTGCGGCAAATTATCGCCATGAGGTGTCACCGTCTTGCGCAACGATGTGGGGGAACATAAATACAGACATAGATAAACATGTTCATAGAATTGCTTAATTGCGTGCGTTAAGTTAAAGTTTATTCCGGATTGATGATTCTTTGCTCAGTTTTAAATTTAGCACTCAGCTAGATACTCACATGTTTACATAAAAGTCCAATAGTTTCATCTAAAATAAGATCAGGTGAATATAGGTGGGACCGCGAAAGCTGCCCACCGACTAAGGGAATAAGGCTATTTAGCTAACTTTGATATTTAACGGTCTGAAATCCTTACACACTATGAATACATGCCAAGGATGGAGCCATGTGGAGAATTCACGCAAGTGAGGAAAGTTTTCTGAGCGCCAATCACTTGGGAGTGGCGTCAAACAATACTTTTACATATTGCACAAGCAGCTTACGACTTTAGGCCTTAAATCAAGTACCCTCTGGGCAGCCAAAAATCATCCGTCAAGCTAAATTGCGAAGATGGAACATCCTCTCCCCAGGGTTTGTGCTGAGTTTAGGACCTGCCACGTAAAAAACCCTACCAATGAAAAGGGGAACAACAGCCTCGGATTACATTCCAAAATACTTGGATTACCAGGTCGAAGAGACTAGCCGGAGAGAGTGGGTGGAAGCGTACACAGTCGGAAACTTGCCATCGACTCCAGTTTAAAGCTCCCTTCTGCGCCGTCTTCCAAGCGACAATGGCTGACATAAACTTAGCAATAGAACTACTAGTCTAGAGCGTAGACTTCTTGAGTTGTGACTATCCATTCCGTTAGTAGCTAAGCGATGTTTGCCGTGAGTTTGTTGACTACGATCTTATTATTATTGAAAGGATATCTCTTCCTTCTTCCAGCATCGAGTAGTTTTATGATTAAATTATTGGTAATCATGCTATTTTTGAGTATTTTACTGGGTGCCAGCTTTTTGGAAGAAGTTGAGAC